ATGCATATTGATGTCTTTATGCTGTGTATAAAGTTTGAGCTAATTCCGACAGATATTTTTCGAGTTATGATAATTTTTAGAATTGGCCAATTTTCGAAAAATACCCAAGGCTATAGCCCATGGTTTTTTTTCCAGAATTTGGCTCCAAAATCACCCCCACTTTTTATTAGATTTTTTGATGCATATTGATATCCTTATGCTGTGTAGAAAGTTTGAGCTGATTCCGACAAATATTTTTCGAGTTATGGTCATTTTTAAAAATGGCCAATTTTCAAAAAATTCCCAAGGCTATAATAGCCCATAGTTTTTTTCTAAAAAATAGTTTCGAAAACACCCCCACTTTTTATTAAAAAGTGGGGGTGTTTTTGGAGCCATTTTTTAGAAAAAACCATGGGCTATATTATAAATTTTGCTTTAAACCAACAATCAAACAAATGGCAGATATATTTTAAAGTACCTGAGAAAAACTTGACTAAAACTTAATCCAAGGAGCTAATTGGTTTACAGTAAATAAAAACTAGTTGATTCATCAGACAATAAGAAAACAATATCATACAGCTATTGTTATATTAAAGAATACCCAATACCACATACATTCTTGCCCGCATAAGTGTGAAACACAGATGTAAAATTTGATTAATTATTTACAAAATTTTCAATATAGCCATACAGGGAGGGGGGTTAATAGGCACATAATACTTACCTGTATAAACTATCATGAAAACATTCATTGTGGTTACAATGGCCTCGAAAATAAAAGATCTCATTTCCAATTGGAGCAGCGGCATAGGTAAGGACACCCAGTGGAGGGTTTTTGTTCCCACCTACCAGTCTCTAAGTGGCACACGTCCATTACTGAGCTTTTTGACTTCTTCTCTTCATTGTTGTGTACTCTAGGGAGGAATGTCCCTTCCTTTTCACTGGTTGATAGTCTATAGATAACAAAAGGTATACCGGTATATTACAGTAACTGGATGCATTTGACAATTAATTATGAAATAATCACGGGCTCCTGTCAAAATACTGACCTTTTCCTTTTGCTGCCATTGGACTTTGTGACGTAGAGTCTAATCGAGTCAGGGAAACAGCTGATTATAATATACAAACAGCGGTAGTAACGGTATCATTATGGCTATAATTATGATTCATTGAGCAACTGCGTGGGTGGTAGCGTGCATAGATACATGAAAACTTGGATAGAATCAGAGAACTATCACAGCAGTGGACTTGCCACAATGAGAGATAAAGTGCTTGATCAATAGAGCACATCATTTATGAAAACAGCAAAGCTACGCTGTTTTATGCGGAACTTACAGCTAATTTTGAACACAATAATCCTATTCCTTAGAAAAACTTTCCCTCACAAGGAATACTTGTAAGACAATTAACTTGTAAAGATACCTTTTAAGTACCACATACCAAAATTTCATGATTGCACTCCAAAGAATACTGAAGTTAAAATTTTTTTATTGTTAAGTATAATTAAATTAATTAAAATTTATTATTAAAATTGTCAGTAATAAATCATGATATCTTTATCCAGGTAGAAAATAATTGGGATCAAAGTCTATATCCTCACAATAACCTTCGTCTATAATGCCAAAATAGGCAACCAGATACTTAACACAGTTCATATGAGTACAAATATGAACAAAAATTGCGGCTCTCATGAAATCTCAAGATATCTTCCAAATACAGATATTAAGAAAGTTGAAAACCA